ATGGGATCTGTGGTTGACTGAAACATTGTTATGTGGTGCATGGCTGTAATGGTAACAACAGAAGACACGTGTATTGGACTTACCGGGTGCCAGGCATGCTCTAAGAACTTTTTAACAGTGTGAGGCCTTTAGAATAGTGCCTGGCATATGGTAAGCACTGCATGAGTGTTTATTAAATAAAATTATTGTACATGTAGTAGCTTATTTAATCTTTACAAAATCTTGAGAAGCAGTAGGTACTCATTACTCTCATGTTTACAGATGAGGAAACTGAAGCACGGAGACTTCCAGATGCTGAGAATGTAGGTGAGACAACAGCACAGTCAACCTTGACTTCTTCTCCACCTTCCCCTGGCAAACTCCTATGGATCCTTCAAAACCCTACTCCAACATCACCTGCTCTGGGAGCTCCCAGTCATTGGCCAGGATGAACTCTTAGACCTGGACAATGGGAGGAGGAAGGGAAAGGAGGGCGTGAGGGAGGCTGGCTGGGTGGGAAAGGTAGGGGTGAGAGAATAGAGAGAGAGATGCAGGCCTTTGGGAGATACCCTGGGTTGGCTCATGGGAAGTACGTGAGGGGAAGTCCTTGTTCCTTCCTCCCAGCAGAGGCGGCTCTGTCTTGTGGCTTGCCCTGCAAAGGCCAGCTGAGCCTCCAGCTTCCTTGAGGTTGGCTATGTGGCATGCAAGTGAAGAGCCCCACTCTGGGGCCAAATTGACCTGGTTTGACTCCCAACTCTTGTGCTTACTGGTAAGGTGATTCCAGCCAAGTTATTTGACCCCATATACCCTGCTGCTTATGGAAATAGAAGGGGGATAACCCTAGTATCCACCTGGTAGAATTGCCATGAGGCTTCATCGTAAATTCAAGGTGCATAGGAAGTACTCAGTAAATATTGACTTGGATCATCCAAGTCATCTTGGATTCTTGGTGAAGCTGCCCTCTCTTGTCTCTGGATTCCCACTGTGCTTAAGTTGAAGCTGCACAATTCAACCCAACATTAGTGACCGCAACAATCACCTTTTACTAGGTGTTTCTGCTGGGCAGGCTGTATGCCTTGTCCTTTTTACACAACATCATAAAGACCATCATGACCCCATGAGGTGTATACTAGTAATATGCCCATTTTACAGATGAGAAAAGAGAGGCGTTTTTGAAAGGTTAGAATTGTGTCTAAAATTCCACATCAAACACATGGCAGAATGAGGATCTGAACCCAGGCAATCTGACCTGGAGCCCATGTGATTCCTTCTAGTTTGTTAGTCTCCCAATACTGATGGACACCTCCTGTGTGCCAGACTCCATGCTAGGTACCAGGGGAATAAAAGACACGAAATCCTGGCCCTCAGGGAACCCACAGCCTGGCGTGGGGAACAGATGTGAAGGAGGAGGGCTGGACCTGATGCGCTGATCTGCTAAAGGCTGTTTTATTTAATCATATTCTAACAATTATTGGGCATATGGTCGACGCAATAAATAATGCTCTCTCTTTCTAAAGACAAGACAGACAGGCTTCTAGAGTGAAAAAGTAGCATACAAAGCACAGCTTTGACATTATTTTTAGGCTTCCAGAAAATCTAAAGTTGTCAAATACAAGTATTACTGGCATAGTGATTAATCAGTTAGAATTCTCAGAGAGTCCCTGCACTCTGCCAAGCACCATGCGTTTCCTAACAAGCCCAGACAAATGTAGTGGCTTCTGTTTGATATGAGAGATGCATGGTAATTCAGAATTCAATATGCCAAGTGACATAGAGGCAGGTAGAAGGCCTCTTGGCATGCAGAGGGAGGGAACAACTCACTTTGGGGCTTCCTGGAGGAGGAAATATTTGGTTTACGTTTTGCAGTCTATGTAGGAGTTCTCTGTGAAAAGAAGAGGGGCAGATACTCTCTAGAGGACAAAAATGAGAAAAGCACCCTTGCATGTCTGGTGAATGATGGAAATCAAGCAGGGCTGGAGTATTCGGCTCAGGAGGGTGGGGATGGTGGTGAGGGGAGGAGGGTGGCCGGGCCTTCTGGGTCAGAAAGAGCCTTGACTGTTATGCTCAATGCTTTGGAGTTTCTCTTACAAGTAATTGACATGTGTGATGTGTGTGTGTCTGTCTGTGTGTGTGTGTATGAGAGAGAGAGAGAGAGAGTGTGTGTGTGTGTGTGTGTGTGTGTGTGTGTGTGTGTGTGTGTCCCATGGAGCTTTTAAGAGAGAGACATGGGGCTGGGCACAGTGGTTCATGCCTGTAATCCCAGCACTTTGGGAGGCTGAAGCGATGGATCACCTGAGGTCAGGAGTTGAAAATCATCTGGGCCAAGGTGAAACCTCATTTCTACCAAAAAACACAGAAACTAGCTGGGCATGGTCATGTGTGCCTGTAATCCCAGGTACCTGGGAGGGAGGCTGAGGCAGGAGAATCACTTGAACCCGGGAGACAGAGGTTGCAGTGAGCCACGATCATGCCACTGTACTCCTGGTGACATATTGAGACTCTGTCTCAAAAAAGAAAAAAAAAAAAAGGGGAGGGGGTGGTGGGAGAGATATGGTCAGATTTGTGATTTGTACAAATGACTGTGGCAGTCTGCAGGGAGGCAGGTGGGAGGTTGGTGGCAGGGCTGTCAGTTCTCCAGTCTCTAAGGCCCCTGGGGTCAGTGACAACATGTCTTTTTCTCTGGAATTTTTCATAACACCTAGCAAGAATGGGACAGCAAATGCCTGCTGCATGAAACCCATGCATGCCCCAGAGTGGATGGATTTCGTAGCCCTCAGAGCCTGCCCCCACCAGCACTGTCCATGGTACCAACACACACCATTGCAATCCCAGTGGGCTCCCTGGTGGCAGCCTAAGTGCTGTATGTGTGTGTAGTTGGATGGGCAAGGGGACTCTCAATGCCTGTGTGTTGTGATCAAGGCAGGGTCTCAGCTGCTCCAGTCTCAGAAGCGCTGCCCAGGTGTCCATGTGTCCGGAGGGCAGATCCCCACTTCATCTGGCCAAGCTTTAGAGCATGGAGTTGAGGCAGAAATTGAAGCCAAGCAGAAAGGATGGGGCGTGAGTTGGGAAGATGTGAATACCACACTTCTGAGTTTGCTTCTATAGAAAGAGCGTGACAAGGCCACATTTGTGTTCCAGGAAGATCACTCTGGTGGTAGCAGAGAGGACAGACAGGAAAGGAGAGACGAGAGTCTCTGAGCCCCACATAAGCCCCCAATGCCACACAACAGGACTTTGGAGAAAGAGGAAATGGGGTGGGGGTGGGGCAGAATAACCAGGCAGGCCTTGCTGGAGGAGGTAGGACATGAGGGGACTTGGAGGATTCGTAGAGGTAGAGGGGCGTGTCAGGCAGGGTGAACAGCATGGGCAAAGGTAGAGAGGAGGGAACCATCGGTAGTTAAGAAAGAGTGGGGAGACTCTTGCCCTTCTGTGCCCAGTGGCCCCCACCTCCTCTCCATGGACCTTCTGAGCAAGGAGGGGGCCTGCTCTGTGACCGAGCTCAGCTGCACCTCTGGGTGTCTCTGGCTGAGGGAGGGGGCAGGCTGGGTGCAGCTTTGAAAGGTCCTTCCATTGTGTGTGAGGCCCAGCCAGAACAGTGGAGGCGGGTGCACAGAGCCCTTTGTCCGCCAAGTTACCCACGACGTGCTCTGGCAGTCTCCACGGTCCTCACTGACCTTAGACACAAGGCCGTGCCATAGAGACAGGTTGTTCTGCCTTGGCTGGCTCCGATGTCACAGTAGAGGGAGGGGACAGGGGCAGGGGTGGACAGTGGTGGGAGTCAAGACTGACCAAGGGCTGACAGACTGCCTCTTGCCCTTGAGGTGCAACGAATTACCAATTCATTAAGTTCTTTAACTCCACAGCTATAGAATGATGGAACCTTCCAGTACCTGAGAATCCCAGAGTAATGGACTCTTTCTAAGATCATGGAATCTTTCATAATAGACTCTGTGGGAATCAGAATTCTATTCTATAGAATAACAGAATCTTAAAAATCATCGATTTTTAAAATATCTTCCTTCTGAGTTTGTGGTGAGAATAAAATGAAATACCACATGGAGGCCGGGCGTGGTGGCTCAAGCCTGTAATCCCAGCACTTTGGGAGGCCAAGGTGGGTGGATCACAAGGTCAAGAGATCAAGACCATCCTGGCCAACGTGGTAAAACCCCGTCTCTACTAAAAATACAAAAATTAGCTGGGCGTGGTGGCGTGCACCTGCAGTCCCAGCTACTCGGGAGGCTGAGGCAGGAGAATTGCTTGAACCCGGGAGGTGTAGGTTGCAGTGAGCCAGGATCGTGTCATTGCACTCAGCCTGGTGACTCTGATTCAGAAAATAAAAAAATAGAAAAAAGAAATACTGCATGGAACACACATAGAATAGGCCTGGAACATTGTAAATGCTCCAGCTCTTTTCCCCATTTTGAGGAAACCCAGGCCCAGAGAGGTGATGTGACTTGTCCAGGAACACACAGCTAGGAGGTGGTGGCACAGAACATCAATGGCCTGGAGGGAGCCCCGGTGGCGGGATGGCCTCTCGCACTGAGTCCCCCATGGCCAAGCCAGCAGGTCTGTGTCTGAATTCAGGTCTCCAAGGTGGGGGTGAGTGTGGGAGGGTGAGAGCTGGGGGTGAAGTGGGAGACCGGAAGAGGGGGCCAGGGCTCCACCAGTCCCTGTGTAATCTCTCTGGGCCTCAGTTTCTCCCTTTTTTTCTTTTTTTTTTTTTTGGTGAGACGGAATTTCGCTCTTATTGCCCAGGCTGGAGTGCAATGGCATGATTGTGATCTTGGCTCATGGTAACCTCTGCCTCCCGGGTTCAAGCAATTCTCCTGCCTCAGCCTCCCAAGTAGCGGGGACTACAGGCGTGCATCACCACACCCAGCTAATTTTTGTATTTTTAGTAGAGGTGGGGTTTCACCATGTTGACCAGGATGGTCTCAATCTCTTGACCTTGTGATCCACCCGCCTCAGCCTCCCACATTGCTGGGATTACAGGCATGAGCCACCGTGCCCCGGCCCTTTTTAAAAGAGGAATAGTATTTCCCTTCCTACTTCCACCCCTGGGGAGTGGTGAGGCTGCCACTCTGGTTGGGCCACCCTGTGTGTTCCTGAGTAAGTGACATCACTTCTCTGAGCCCATGTCTTCACTGGTGCAATGGGGAGAATAAGGACTGAACCAGCGTGAGGATTGACTTGAGGAGCTAATACCCTTTGAAGCAGTGTTAAGCTTCTGCTTAACACTCTGTGCATTTGGATCCCAGCTCTGTTGCTCCACGGGTCAGTGATTGGGGTAAGTCTCATCACCTCCAGGTACTTCAGTTTCCACAGCTGCAACATGGAAACACCAGGAATGCTCATTTAGATGATATGGGTTAATACAAGTGGAGCGAGCACTTAGAACCGTTCCTGGCAAGTGGAAGTGTTTAGCAGTCTTCCACAATCATTGTTTACCACCTAAGGCTTGGTCATTGTGAGTGATTATTATTAATGGTCAGCAAAGAGCTTGCAAAGTGCTGCATAATTGTGTGTGTGAGCACCTGTGTGTGCATGTGAGTGTGTGTGTGTGCTTGCATGTATACAACAGTGCTTATTAAAAGCAGAGCCTGCGGCCCAGAGTTGAGCCGTGTGCCCGGAATAGCTGCTGCTTCTGGCGGCCTCCCCAGGGACTGGAGTGTAATGGGTGTTTGCAGAGCCCCCCGCCAGGCTGAGATGACAGGCACAGAGGAGCCAGAGCTGGAGCCAGGTGGCGGCCGGGAGCCCAGTGTTATTATATTAATGAGAACCAGGGTGATGATTACCATTAACGAGATTAGTCACCAGGGGGCCTCCCCACTTCCCCAGGCTCATGTCTATGGCAGGGGAGGCAGGCAGGCATTCTCTGCACCCACCTCTCTCTTCTCTGTCTCAGGAGAAGGGGTGAGGATTCCCTGGTGCCAGGCACGACGCCAATCCCCTTATAGCCTTGTCTCACTATTTCTTTCCAAGCCCCTGGGGTTACATATTGGCGCACCCACTTTACAGATGAGAAATCTGAGGCTCAGCCAGGGCTCTTTCTGACCTGGGAACAGGTCTTTTTATTGCCCCTTCATGTTACCTGCAAACAAGTACAGTGAACCGAGCCCTGGCACTTTACATGGATTAATCTTTTAGTCTTCACAACAATCCCATAAGGACAGTGCTCTTGTTAACTCCTTCACATGGGGAAACTGAGGCACAGGGTAGTTAAGTAACTTGTCATCTGTATCACAATATCTCCTGCCTTCCAGCAAGCCCCTCTCTCTCCAGCAGTCAAAGTGAAGGTGTGGCTCCCAATCCTTTGTTATAGCAGACCACACCCAGGGCTCTTTGATCAGATGCTTGTGGGCAGTTTTCTGCTTGTCTCTTGTCCCCACAGTCCCCTCAGTCAGGCCACCTCTGGGCATAGGCTCTTAGTGCCACCCACCATGCAGAGCTGAGGCTGCCACCTACTCACTCATGCCACAAACATTATCCTGGCCCTTCTTGGGGCCAAAATGTCAATCCTTTTAGATACACTCTAAGAAGTCGGGTTCTCATTTAACTTTTAGTGGACAGCTACTCTGTCCAGCACTGTGCCAGCCTGGGGACTCAACAATGGGAGAGACAGACCCGACCCTGTTCTCATGGAGCTCCCAGTCTCGTGGACAAACTAGTACATGGCATGTACGTAGTGACAGTTGTTCTGAGTGCTTCAGAGGAAGGACCATGGTCTGTGGACTGCGGGGTATCGGGGGGAAGGGTGCTGTTGGAGTGAGGGAGGAGTGAGGCAGGGAAGGCTCCCTCAGGACATGAATTTAAAATGAGAAGTAAGGGCAGAGCAGGAGCTAGACAGTAACCAAAGGGAAGAGCATTTCTGGTGGAGGGAACTGCATATTAGGGGGTGAGACCCCCAGGGGAGTCTTGCCAGCCTAATCAGCACACCATCAATGCTCAGGTGTCTCCCCAGGCCCACAATCATTCATTCAATCAATCATCACTTATCAGTTACAATTTTCTAATTTAAATAGTTCGTTTACTCACTCATTTTTTCATTCATTTATTCTGTATTCTCTAATACCCATCCATTTCAGGCTTGATATTGGGCGGGGGGATGCAGAATTGAATTAGTTGCAGTCTCTGTCCTGAGGTTGCTTCCAATCTAGGGTGGAAGATGAATTCTTCCTTACACATGACACCATGTCATCAATGGACACGAAGACTCTTCCTCTAGACTGGGGTGGTGGTCAAGAAGGGCTTCCCAGAATACAGGTCATTTGAGCTGAGTCTGTTTTTTTAAGACAGTCTTACTCTGTAGCCCAGGCTGGAGTGCAGCAGCGTGACTTCTTCTCACTGCGGCCTCTTGCCTCCCAGGTTCAAGCAATTCTCATGTCTCAGCCTCCTGAGTAGCTGGGATTACAGGCAGGTGCCATCATGCCCAGATAATTTTTCTATTTTTAGTAGAGACGGGGTTTTGCCATGTTGGCCAGGCTGGTTTCGAACTCCTGACCTCAGGTGATCCACCCACCTTGGCCTCCCAAAGTGCTGGGATTATAGGTGTGAGCCACCACGCCTGGCCCGAGCTGAGTCTTTATAAATGAGCAGGCACTAGGGAGGTAGAAAGAGGGAGGTGGGCAATGGTGCACAGCATGAGCAAAGATATGAAGGACTCCAAATGCTAGGCTGAGGCAGCGACTGCTGGCTTTGCAATGGTATCTGTTTTTCCTTTCGTAGCAATAACACACGGCGGCTTGGAAGAAAGACTACATTTCCCAGCTTGCTTTGCAGCTAGGTGGAGCCATGTGACTAATGTGGCCAATAGGATGCGAGCAGAAGTGTAGGCGGTTTTCCCCTTGATCACTTAAAAGATAGTGGTGTGTCCGCCCCGTCCCTTTCCCCTTGCCATTGGTGGAAGGTGCACGTGGTCCCATCTTGAACATGTGAATGAGGGCAACACGAAATGACTGCAGCTTAACAAGACAGAAGGAACTTGGGTCCGCTATGCCAAGGAGCCCCAGCCATTAATGGTTGATATGTAAATGACTATATGAGAGATAAATAAACTTCTCTCTCCTTTAAGCCAGAGTTATTTTGGGTCTCTGCTTTAGAAGCTCAACCTATATCCTAGCTTATAACCAGACTAAAGGCTATTATCTCCCAGGGCACAGGGAGCTGTCAGAGTTCTGTGGGGAGGGTAATGCCATTGTCAGATTTGTATTTTCGGAAGCTCTCTCTGGCCACAGAATGCATGATGGGAAGGAGGGGAGAGACTGGAGGCTGAGACTAGAGAAGGGGTTCATGCTTTCAAATGGGGCAGAGGTACCGAAGCCTGACCCAGGACAGGTCAGCCCTATCGGTGCCTGCTAACAGAGGGAGGGCCGGGTTCCCTACCCAGGCCTAAAGCCAAGCCTTGTGTGCTGCCTGCAGCCACTGTCTCTTCCCATTACATCCAGAGCTTTCAGCCTTGAATATAACCCAGAGGCCGCTCTTGTGAAATCTGACCTTCAGCTGTCACTAGAGCCCAGGACCGCCCCTTCTGGGGAGGGTTGGTGATGGCGGGCTGAGGGCGGGAGGCGGGGGCTCTGGAGGATGGATGTGGGGAAGAAGGAGAGGTAGGTGGGACAGAGCCTATGGTGGGGAGGGGGCTGTGTAGATGATGATGATGGGGCAAGGACAGATGGGAGACAGAATGAAGGGGACTGTGCTAGTCAGGTCTCTTCTAGTTTTTGGTACCAGATCAAACCAGAATACATGAAAAATGGGCTGCACTGGGCCAAGGGTGGTGGCTCACGCCTGTAATCCCGGCACTTTGGGAGGCTGAGGCGGGCAGATCACGAGGTCAGGAGTTCGAGACCAGCCTGGCCAACATGGCGAAACCCTGTCTCTACCAAAAATACAAAAATTAACTGGATGTGGTAACTGGCGCCTGTAATCCCAGCTACTCAGGAGGTTGAGGCAGGAGAATTGCTTGAACCTGGGAGGCGGAGGCTGCAGTGAGCCGAGATCAGGACATTGTACTCCAGCCTGGGTGACAAGCGCAAGACTCAAAAAAAAAAAAAAAAAAAAAAAAAAAAGGGCTGCCCTGGCTCTCACCCTGGCAGGCACAGGATGGTGTTGGCTCAGGTGCACCCGGATCAATTGGGACCTTACCCTCTCCACTCTGTTGGCTTCCGTCTCTTCTATTCCAGGCAGCCTTCCTCCACACCACAAGTGGGAGGTAGACATGGCCACAGGCAGTTTGGGGCCACATCCTGTCAGTTTGTCAGACAGGAGACCCACAGCAGCCACATGTAAAATTCCAGGGGTCCTAGGACTGTGCCAACTACAGGTAATAAGGGAGAAGAAAGTCCTCTAAGAGAGGAAGAATTTTTCTGTTACCTAGAGAATAGGGACAGGGTTTCTGCGTGGCCAACAGCCAACAATGCTGACTGTAGGTATGGAAGAGAATAGGGGACTCATGGCAGGATGGCAGACAATGGCTGGAGATGGGGAGGAATGATGGGGGAGAACCTGGTCCACGGAGCGGCTGATGGGTGCTTGAGGTGTGACCTTTGAGCACACTCCAAGACGCACTCCATCCCCTCTTCCTGTCTCTGGACTTCTGGTGTCTTATTTATTTATTTATTAGAGAAAGGGTCTCACTCTGTGGCCCAGGCTGAGTGCAGTGCCACAATCACTGCATCTTTGAACTCCTGGGCACACATGGTCCTCTGACTTCAGCCTCTCGAGTAGCTGGGACCACAGGCATGCAGCACTACACCTGGCTAAATAAAAAATATTTTTTTGTAGAGTCAGGATCTTGCTATGACTGGTCTTGCCCAGGCTGGTCTCCAACTCTTGGGCTGAAGCGATCCTCTTGCTATGGCCTCCCAAAGTGTTGAGATTACAGGCCTGAGCCACCATATCCAGCCTAGGCTCTTTTCTAAAGTCTCTGTCACTGCCTCTGGGAAGTCCTTCCTGATCTCACCCCCGTCCAGCAGAGCTGGTTGCTCCTTCCTCTGGGCCCAATGTTTCTGCTATGGCCCTCTCTCCAGGTACATCTCACCCTGCGCTCCAGTGAGGGACCCGCATAGCTACGTCCTCCTAGGCTGGGAGCCCTCGGGTGCGCACTGCCTGCCTTTGGTCATCACCTCCCGCTCTGGCCTTCCTCCCTGGGCTTTGGTCCCATCAGCTTTTGGGTGTCTGCATGTGTCTCTGTGTATGTCCTTGTGTGAAGGCATGTGTGTGTGTGTGTGTGTGTGTGTGTGTGTGTGTGTGTGTCTGTGCTTATGGGCATGTGTCTGTGTATACATATACATGTATGTACCCAGAAGACTGTGGATGCGTGGTGTGACTGTGACTGTGGGTGCTTGAGTATATGCATATGTGTCTGTCTGCGTGTCTGGGTGGGGTCTTTATATATGGATTGTGTGTGCCTGCCTCAGTGCGACTGTGTGTATAGGAAGGTCTGAGGTACTCCTCCCCTCCGGGACTTGGTCATAGTGAGGTGTACACCCATAAACACATGCAGATCCACACAGAGTTACAGATCCACAGAAACAGACCCACACGGACACACACACACACACACACACACACACACACACACACCTGTCTCCCGTCACCCTGCCCAGGGCTGCTCTGGGTGGGGCTACCCTCCAGATGGCTGGCTGGGGTGGATTCCCGGGGCTTCCCCTCCCCACAGGAAAATGTTTTCCTGTGCCCAGACAGTGGCTAAGAGCCAGCCTCACCCTGCACCTTCCATTTCCTCTCCTGAGGCCACACCTCTGACATCAGGATAGCAGTCTGGCCCTGCAGGCCAAAAGTGCTGGAAAACACCGAGGCATTGGAGCCTCATCCAGCTGTCTCCCCTCTCAGAAAGCACTCCATGGGCACCACAGTTCTTCTAGCCAGGGCATCGTAGGGCCACCATGATAGGTATTTACATTACTATACCCTGCAGGTGCTGTGGGGCGCACCCACAGGGAGGGGAAGGGAGAGGGAATGGCCCATCGTTTATCAGGTAGATCCTGACATACCCCCAAAGGTTTATTCATTGCTGTATCCCCAGCTCCTAGTGCAGTGCCTGGCACATAGTAGAAGCTCAATAAATGTATGTGGAGCGAATTAATGAAGGAGGGCATTACTAGTCCATCTCACATAGAAACTGAGGTTCAGAGAGGCAATTTATTCAACAGTGACCAAGGGACAGAGACAGGACTAGAACCCAGGAGCCGTCAGAGTGTTGAGGCCCAGTTTGTTCCACTGTGTCAGGTTTACTCAAGCTGAATGGGTGAAGTGTGAGCTCACTGCTGGGGCCCTGGAGGTCATCCACACCCATCTTCACTGCTTATTCTAAGTCTCAATTGCCCCATCTGTACAATGGTTTGATGATAGCATATCAGGTATGAAGTCACAACATTGATGCATAAGAAGTGTAACTCTCTTTTTTATTTCTGACCTGGATTTCTATTTTGAGCTCCCATTTCGCTGAATGTAGCAGAAACATAATCTTAATCATTTTGGGACCTCCTACCTGGGGATTATGTCTAAATTGGGGAGATTGAGCCGAGAAGCTTTTGTAGTGGCAGGCACTGGAGTTGGAGCCGTGTCCTCAGGGTTGTCTGGCCCCCACTGAGATGCTACCCCTCCTTTGTGGCTGGCACTCAGAGTCACAGCTACACAGACTTTTGTTCCGTCCCAATCCGTGCAGCGCCGGCTCTCTCCGCCCCTCCCAGGTGCACTGAGTTTGTTCTGGACCTGGATGTATGCTCCAAGTGAGCCCCAGCACTTAGCAAATGTGACCTTGGCAATTCTTCTAACCTCAGTTTTCTTATCTATAAAATGGGAATAATAATTGCACCTGCTTCACAGCGTTGCTCATCAGAGTAAAGAAATGAATCCACAGCGAATGCTTAAAACAGCACCAGGCACATAGTCGCTGCTCAATAAATGTGATCTTAGCTATTACAGTGACCTGTCCTGTTCTGGGAGGCCCAGCTCAGGATGGGGCAGGGGCAGAGCCCCTGCTCTTAGGTCACCTCTACACCTGCTAACTAATGAGGACATCCATCTAACGAATGAGGACAGACACGGTCACCCAGGCTGGGGACTGTCCTGGTGATAAGACAGCACATGCGGGTGGCCTGCACACATGCAGGGCTGCAGGAGCCATAGCAGGGCCTCAGCCCAGCTGCATCTGGGAAACATCGGCCCACAAGCCCCTGATCGGTAGCCAAGTCTGTGACAGCTTTCTCTCCGGGGACCACCTCCAGGTGCTCTCTGCCACCCCACCCAGTCTGTGGTGCTGGAGGAGGGTTTCTTCCATACTAGCCTGACCCTGTTCCTGCCCTGCTCCCATCCCCTTCCGTGTGCCCCATCACCTGCCAGGGTCCCAATCAGAAATCTTAGTGTGGCCTTCAGGGCCCCTCACAACCAGGCTCCAACCTGCCTTCCCACCTTCTCTCCTTCGTCTGTGCCCAGCATCTACTTTCTGTGGCCCACGTCTCACTCCTTCCAGATTCGACATCAGTGCCATTTTCCTGCCTGGCCTGGGATCCTCTCCTCCAGCTGTGCCTCTTAAAATGTAGCTTCACCTTGGAGTCCAGCAGCACGGCTGAGCTCTGGGCCGGAGGTGATGTGTGTAGCCACGAGCAGGCAGGCTCAGCAGTGGGAGGAACAGAGACAAGGGTCAGGCGGGACCTCCTGAGAAAGATGCTTGGGGACAGCTGCAGCAACAGGCAAGAGGACAAGCAGACACGGAGGTGCGTTGGTGGTCTGCGCTTGGGGGCTGCTGTTCGAGAGGCAGGAAGGCTATAGAGTTAAGAGCTCCAAGCCAGAGGCAGTAGGTTTGAATAGTGCTGCGGCTTTCTAGCTGGTGACCCCAGGTAAGTCGCTAAACCTCTCTGAATCTGTTTTCTCCTTTGTAAAAGAAGATAATAGTAGTTGCGACCTCACAAGATTGTTATCAGGACAGAATGAGATGATGTTTGTTTGGTGCCTACACAGTGTCTGGCATATAGCAAGTGCTCAATAGATATGAACTGGGCAATAGATACCAGCCTGGGCAACATGGCAAAACCCCGTCTCTACAAAAAACG